AGTATATATACCTTAAAGTGAGTCCAAGCTAAAGGAGGGCTATTATCCTTTGAAAAAGACATATAAAAGTTTTCATACTCTATATCAGTAACATCTTTTGAATCACGAGCCCAAATAGGTTTTTGAGTATTCATAAGTTCCCAACCAGGTACTTCAATTGTTTTTGTTTTAGGTTCAGATTTTTTATCATCATCAGAAGCATCTTCAATTTTTGGTTCTTCAGAATCAGATTTTTCATCATCAGAATCCCTTTTTTCGAGGGGTTCATCTTCAAGAGAAATAGTTTCAGTTCTTTTTGTCCATAACCAAATAGGGAAGTTAATAAATTCGGAATATTTCAAAATGAGATTACGAATAGAAGCATCTTCAAGAAATGATATGGCATCATCTTTAAGATGTAATTTAATTTGAGTACCACGACCCAAAGTATTTCCTCTAGGATCTTTAGCAATAGTAAAATCATTAATAGCTTGAGATTCCCAAATATATTGATCATCATCATTATGTTTTGTGGTAACAATAACTTTATCAGCCACCAAAAAGACCGAATAAAAACCGACACCAAATTGACCAATTAAATTCATATCAGCTTTTTTATCTTCTACAGCACTTAAAAATTCCGAAGTACCAGATTTTGCAATTGTTCCTAAATTTTCTTTAAGTTGTTGACGAGTCATTCCTATACCACTATCAGTAATTGTTAATACTCTATTAACAGGATCAGCCCATATTGTGATGTTTAGATGGGAATTTGATTTTAAAGCATTAGGATCAGTAAGAGCGAGAAATCTTATTTTATCAATTGCATCAGAAGCTAAAATAATATAGATAAATTAATTAATTAATTAGTTTTAATTTAATTTTAAAAAGAACTAAAAATAATAAATAAAAATAGAATTGTTTGTTACCGTTAGAAATAAGTTCTCGAAGAAATATTTCACGTGTCTTGTACAACGAGTTAATAATAAGTTTCATCAATCGGCTAACCTCGGTCTGCATAAATATAATTTCAATTGTAGATTTAAGATACACAACATAAACTGGATTTGAAAATCCAAACGTAAAAGGATTTTTTTAAAAAAATAAATACCTGAAATTCATACTTTTCTTCGGTTTCTTTAAGTTTTTCGGTTTGTTCTTTTGTAAAACCAAAATTCGATTTACTATCGTCATCTTTGTCATTGTCAGGACTTATTACAAAACCATCCGGTTTTTGCGTAATAAAAGGTCTATCATTGCTACTGGGATCTTTTGATGGTTCAGATTTAGTATCTTGAGCAGAAACTTCTTTTAATATGAAAGGAAAATCGATAAAACAGGCAATTAGACATGATAAAATTAATAGAAGCCAAAATTTGGACTTCATTTCTGTTTAAGTGATATGTATTATATGCTAAAACGAAATGGTTATTAAAAGAATTTTAAAAAAAAAATTGATTTCGAGTAGAAAAACCAAATGATCCATTTTTATATTTATTTATCTTGTTTTATAAAAAAAGAATCTTGTCACTTGTCAATGGATGATTGGTTATACAGAAAGAAATTACAATGTGGAACTATTTTATTGGATGATTTACACTTTTGTTGTAACGTTTTGTCGATCATAATGCTTTGTAAAACCAAATTAGTGACTTAACCTGATATGTATCCAATTTAGATTTTTTTCTAGAATTTTAAGGGGATAAAGAATAGATGCAATAAGTCGACAATCTTCATAAAAAATTCGATCGCGAAGAATGTCTTTAATTTGAGCTTTAAGATCATTTCCATGTTCCGAAAGAATCTAGATTCATTAGAATAAGGGTAGGCATTAACAGGATTAGAAGTGCATTATGACCTAGCATGATTGACAAATTTTTTTATTTTGAGATAGTTACAGCC